TCATTCTTTTTCTTTATTCTATATTTTTCGTTTAGTTTAGTTTAAACTTTATTCATTTAAGAAAGAGAAATAAGAATTCTACACAGATGCGGTCTAGGCCATTATATTAGAGGAAAATGACATATCAGATGATATAAGCGATTACGGATAAAACGTTTCTCTCCTTCATCTTAAAGTGTCTAGTAGATATACAAAAAAAACTGTTAGTTAGTTTCTTTTCGTTAAGAGATCATTCTAACCTTCAGTGTGATCAGTATTTACCTTTGTCTCCTCTCTATTTTCATTCTCCACGCAAAAACGTCTTTCCCTACAGGGAATGCAGGTAAAATCTTTTCCCCTGCAGGGAGTGCAGGCAGGAAAACATTCTTCTTTATCTGCCGTTAGTGGAAATTTTTTTTACTCACCTGCAAACTGCAACCAGCCTGCACTGCCTGCAGTTTGCAGGCAGTTTACTATGCAGGTGATCAGCTGTGCTCTATACCTTTCTGAAACTGTCGAAAATTTGACAAGGAGTGCCTCTTTTTATACTGGAATCCGTTCCCACTAATAGCTGAAGGAAAATGTGATAGTACTTTCTCAAAAAATGCATTTTGCTTCAATGAAACCTTTTGATGGTATTTTTTATTTTGTTCACCTATTCTAGCAATAAAATCCGACGATAGCATGTCTTCTAAAAGTTTACCACCCCAGACAGATGCTGTTTATCGCATCGCACCATATTATTATATTCACGTATTAGACCTAAATACAAATGTGACACGATTGGAAATTGGTCCGAAAACGTTTGTTAAGCTAGACAATGAGACAGTTAGTATTGGACCAGAGAAAATGATCACTGTACCATCAGGACACTATTGTGTTGTTGAAAATCCCGTTGTGAGAAACGAAATTGGTCAAGTATACTTTGATGATAATGGTCAAGCAAAATTATCACATGCTGATTTAGACATCAGGTTGGAAAAAGATTATAAAGAACCATTTCCGTTGTATCCCGGTGAAGTTTTAAGACAGGTACATGGAAGGCTCTTATTGAAGCTAATTTTCTATAGTAACTGTTTACATTGTTCTAGTCTGTCACACCATTAAAACATGTTGCAGCTAATTCAGCATTGAGATTAAAAGCTGTTTTAGATTTTGATGGCAATGGAGAACAACGAAATGCTGGAGATGAATGGCTATTTGAAGGACCAGGTAAATAGCTTCACCTGTCATTGTTGCAGGTGCCGAGTTGTAGTACGTTTCGATTGTATAAGTTTCTTTATTTGTTAGGCACTTATACACCACGCAAAGAAGTATCGGTTGAAGAACAAATTTGTGCTACCGTGATCACTTCAAATCAAGCGATACGCTTGAGTGCTAAAAAAGAAATTATTGATCGTATGGGTGAACACCGTGTGACCGGTGAAAATTGGTTGGTGAAAAAGTCGGGTGCCTACTTACCACTGGCTTATGAAACGGTTGTGAACGTCGAAAATGCCCATGTTCTAACAGATAAAAAAGCTTTGCATTTACGTGCACTGAAAACATTCACGGATGATTTTGGTCAAACACGAAAAAATGGAGATGAATGGCTTGTGACAACAGAACAAACTGAAACACATATTTTAAATGTTTATGAACAACTCGTGGCACATGTTCATATAACAACACTCAATTCAAGACAATACTGCGTCATTCTAAATCCAGTTTCAGGTAACAACGTTAAGTGTGTAGTTGTGAAAGGGTTATAACGCACGATTCTTTTCTTTTTAAGCTGATGGTAAAAACCAGCTGGGTAAGAAAAAATTACTTGTTGGTGAAAAATCATTTTTTCTGCAACCTGGTGAGCAGTTAGAAAAAGGAGTTCAAGACGTGTACATATTGGGTGAAGATGAAGGTCTTATATTGAAATGTATCATATCATTTGATGATGAACTAGACAAAATGACACGTACGCCAGGTAAGACAAAAAAATTTAATTACCTTTCTAGCGTAATAAAATCGCCAATGAATAGTTTCTAACAAGAAAAACATTAAATTTATCAATTGTATGTGGATTTTTGAACAATTTGAATTTTTTAAGGTGACAGATGGATGATAAAAGGACCAAGAGATTATATACCACCAACACAAGTCGAAGTGTTAATGAGAAGAAAAGCGATACCTTTAGGTAAGTTGGCTGCTACTTTTTTGTCTTTGATCTATTACTTATCTGTTGTATACTTTCTCTAGATGAAAATGAAGGTATCTATGTTCGTAATATTAAAACTGGTCGTGTTCGAGCGGTTGTTGGTGCAACATACATGCTAACCCAAGTCGAAGAACTATGGAATAAAGAATTGCCACCAGAAATTGAACAGTTGCTACACAAAGATGCTTCAGCTGATAGAATCGTTAGAAAAAGTGATACAGATGTCAAAACACCAATAACATCATCGCCACAACCGAAAAAACGCGATAAATTCAAATTAGTCACATATCGTGTTCCGCATAATGCAGCTGTGCAAGTTTATGATTACAAAGCTAAACATTCAAGAATAGTTTTTGGACCTGAATTAGTCATGCTGGGACCTGATGAACAATTTACATTGATTAATCTCTCTGGATGTGTCCCGAAAAAGCCGAACCAAATCCGATCATTAGCGTTATTATTGGGTCCAGATTTTTTTACCGATATCATGGATATTGAAACAGCAGATCATGCTAGATTATCACTTCAGTTGTCTTACAGGTCTGTCAGAAGAGACACCATCTCTCAGTTATCATTCTGTTTTCTTTAATTTCAGTTGGTTTTTCGATATTAGTGATCGTACTAATGAGAAAGAAGCGGCAAAATTATTCAGTGTACCTGATTTTATTGGTAATTTGACCCGTTTTTTCTATGTTCAATAATTGTTAGATTTTGCCGCCTCTGTTCAGGTGATGCAACCAAAGCTATTGCTAGTCGAATTCGTGGTGCTGTTGCTGGCGTTCAGTTTGACGATTTTCATAAAAATTCAGCCAACATCATTCGTGCCAGTGTATTTGGTGTAGAACTAGTACCGGAAACGACAACATCTACCGACAAACAATCAACGTCTCAACCTCGTGTACGTGATCGTTTTGTATTTCAACAAAATAATTTAGTACTAACATCCATTGACATCCAATCTATTGAACCAGTTGACCAACGCACTCGAGACGCTTTGCAGAAGAGTGTACAATTAGCCATTGAAGTAAGTGTTGTCTCTTTTTGCACGAATTTGAATACTTATTTGTTTTTTCTTGTAGATAACTACAATGAGTCAAGAAGCGAGTGCAAAACATGAAGCATCAAGACGTGAACAGGAAGCAAAGGGTTTATTAGAACGTCATCGAATTAAAGATGAGGCGGGAGCAGAAGAAGTACGTATTATAAAGCGGTTTGGAAGTAGAGATGTGCAGGGCGTCTTTACCCTACCCACCCCTGCAGGGTAGGGTAGCGTAGGGCCAGGGCTTTGTCTAAAAAGATATACCGTTGGTACAGCATTGAGGTCGGTCGCTAGCGACACTTATCGATCGACCTTTATCGGATTCAGGACACTCATTTTTGTTGCAATTGGCAATATAACAAAACAAATAAAAAAATAAAGAAATAATTGTAAAAAGAAAATTCTCAAATTTTCAAAGGGTAGGGTCAGGACTGCGTCGCCACAGGAGAGGGTCAGGGCTCAACACCTTTTCACGGGGAAGGGCTCCGTAAACAGTTACCCTGCACATCTCTACTTGGAAGTGCTCTTCACTCTCGTTTATGAGGCAGACATTGCTGAAGAGAGCTGATCATATTTGAAGTGACAATCATAACTATACGCTATGGTTGTATTAGTTGGGTAGTTTTCATAACCAGGGTAAGGCGTCGCTAATTCAAAAGTTCTTATACATCATTCGATAGAGACTGTCACGCTGATTAGGAATATCATCTTTTTAGCCTTCCCAGTGCACGTTTTCATGGAGAGAACTTCGAAATACTCTGAGAGTTTCAACATCGGGAAAAACCTTAGTGTTTCGAAAAGTTGAATATTTTTTTCCTTTGTATATGAGCTTTCAAACGTTTTTTTCGGACTCAAACTGAATTAGGAAATGTATGCTGAAATTTTTCCATATTTAATACGATTGCAAAAGAATTCATTTACAAGCATAGCTCCAAAACGAAGGTCTTCCAGTTCTTGCGCCATTCGATCGGCCTTGGTTTATACTACAAAAATACGGATCGCTTTTTTCGAAAATTTGTTTCATTCCTGAGAATCAGGAGCGAAAAACTCGGAGTTCGGCCCGTAATTCTCTGTTTTCTCCATCAGAACTCATTTTTTATGCAAGAAAAGCATCATATTCGGAGTTAGCGTCAAGAACCGAGCCGAATGATATACTTGTTTACCCTATCTAACCACCTATTTTTTTCTGAATTTTCACATCGAAAAATCACTGCGATTTCCACCAAAAAGTGAAAATCAAAGAAAAATTTCGAAACATATATCATTCGAATCCGTCTTGAATGAAGTAAGATCTTGAATCAGATTGAGATTAAATTTTTCGACACACGAAGGTTTTTCCCGATGTTGAGACCCTCAGAGTATTTCGAATTTCTCTTCATGAAAACGTGCACTGAGAAGGCTAAAAAGGTGATATTCCTAATCAGCGTGACAGTCTCTATCGAACGATGTATAAGAAAGCCAAAAATAAAAATGTGCAGAACTTTTGAATTAGCGACGCCTTAAATCGGTATTCAAATGATTTGCCTCAACAGAACTAACGTTTTATTCTGTGTAAGATTCGTAGAGCTCTGTTGGAATTACAAGCAATATCGGCAGCCGTCGAGAGTACAGGTCATGCAAAAGCTGACGCTCAAAGTCGTGCAGAATCAGCACGTATTGAGGGCGAATCAACCGTTGAACAAGCGCGATTAAAAGCTGAAGCATCAAGAATCGAAGCCGAAGCTGAATTGGAACGTTTGAAAGTATTGCATGAAGCAGAAATTAAATTTTTAAAACAACAAAATGAGCATGAAATAAATAAAAAACAACACTTATCACAAATAGAAATCGAAAAATTTCGACGACAGGTAGAAGCCATTGGTGCAGAAACAATTCAAGCTATTGCCACATCCGGTCCAGAGACACAAGTAAAACTGTTACAAGCACTTGGTTTACAATCGACATTAATTACAGATGGTCGCAGTCCGATAAATCTTATGAGTTTTGGACAAAATTTGTTAGGCGATGGAGTTGATATAACACCAAAAAAACGTGTTATCAAAGGTTGATTTGAAAATGATAGTGAATATATACAACAAATATATATTCAATATACAGATATATTATGTGCGTTTTTGCCTTGTTTTCATATTTATTTCTAGTTTGCATTTATTTTACTATGGAAATACGTCTCTTTTGCTCTCTCTTTGTATTTTTGAATCGAGATCTGAAAAGTAAAACGAAAAATAGTGAACAGCAACGAAATAAGGAATACACAAGAAAAATGGCAATGATTCAGCTAGTAAGGGAGCTGGATCATAACACTCTCATCGCCCCAAGGGATGACTACATCCATCCCAAGTATCTGTCACCAGAAATGTCCTTTAATGACGTTTGCAAAATTGTCATCAAGTATTTGGTCATAGTGCGTTTGTAAAGCAATGTTCTTAAGAGTAATTCCACGAGTTAGACAGCTTTTTTGCGTACCAGTTGTTCAATCGATATTTGAGCTTTTGACTCAAGATTTTACCGTAAATAGAAGCAACATATATAGGAAGATTCCCAAAATTTTTTCGTTCGGACTTACTTCCTTAAAAAGTTATACAGCTTTTCGTAAAAGCTCTAAAAATAGCCTAAAACGATACTTGTATAAAAGTTAAACTTCTGATGTTTATATCTTGGTCTAGGAAATTGATTAAGAGCTCGTATTTGCAGCATATGTAGTCGAGGTCGAATAGTATCTGTGACTAAGAGTATATGCAAAAATAAGTTTTACATATGTGCGAACATATGCGCACAAGATGGTAAAGTTTTGGTGAGACGAACACTTTGGCGTAATTTCTTTTAACCTAAAAGCTTTCTTATTGTATTGAGTGTTACTTCTATCCGTTATACAAGTATAACTGTACTATAATTTATGAAATTGATCCGTACAAGTCTCTTGGATGATGCATGGTTGAGCTCGAAAGTCGACAGAAAAAGAAAAAGCGCCTACTTTCCAGGCGATTCTCTCGTCCAATAGTGTTCCAAATGTTGGATCTATAATGCCGTTGTAATCTATGAACCCAATACTACTGATGCCTGAAAGTCGTTTTTGGAGGATTCACATATGACTCTGGAAAGGGTCTCTGAAAATCCGTTTTTTGAAGTTTACTTACGAGGGAACATACCTAACTGATCAATCGCTTTTTTCACCAAACCGAGTGAGTTATAGGTTATCGACCACGCTGATCCCGAATATCCATATGAGACGGACCTATAGGCCTTTCTAGAGCGGTTTGAACCAAAAGGTTTGAAGTCATCAAAAATGTCAGGCGAAGAGGAATTGACATTGGCAGAGTTGAAGTCTAAACGTGAAACATCCCAAAAACCGGTGGAAAAGGTACTTGGTTACGACACCTACACGAACAAAGACAATCGAATGGTTTTTTATAGTACCGAACGCACTAACTACAACAGAAGACCGAAACAGATTAAAAACTATAACTTTTTTTTAAGTAAGAAATAATACTAAAGAACAGTCATAGTTAAAATAAGTTTCCTCCTTTAGTTAGAAAAATTGGAGAGCTGTTGTTTATATTCAGTAACGGATAATTGAAGCCTTGCCAGATGTTTTGGTAAGTAGAGAATATACTGATTTAAGGGGGGGAGGGGTCCTTCCACAAACATGCCCTCAGATTTGGTCAGTTTATAGAGAACACCTTCGGTAGTATGGCTGTGCAATAAAAAAACTCATTGGTCAAGTACTGACAGAGTTATTAATAAGTTCAAAACGAATTGAAAGTTTTAGTTTGAGAGGCATCTTTTAAAACCTATGTAATTTTCGATATAAATCTTACATTCAATTGATTGTAATGTAGTTTTATAGAGAATTGTTTGTAGATATAATTGCATATAAAAGAAGTTTACAAACGATATCTCGATTGTCTTTTAATTACTAATTACTTCTGGCTAGCACTAATTAGTGGCATTCTCTACAAACTGACCTAATTTGAGGGCATGTTTGTGGGAGAACACTATCCTTCCCTTAAAATAGAATCTTAATAGTGGTTCCAACTTTAGATGATGAGTCATTACCTGTTGGATCTGTGCCCATTGTTAAGCTCGACAATGATGTAATAGAACAGCCAGTTAAGTGATATATTATCACAAAGTGTGAGAAATTAGTAAGCGAAATAACTGAGAAAGACTTGCTGCTCAGTCGTCTTCAACAAACAATAGACATTGATCGTGAAGGTCTATTAATATGTCCAACGCACCGCTATAATTACGGTATTGGTTGGACTTCACAAAATCACTGTTATCACGCTGATCACAAGAATGACACGAAGAGACAATCGACAAAGAAAAATTATAGGCGAGCAGCGTTAGAGCAGGTGAATAATCTTGCTGGATTTCCTATTGGTGGTCGTTTATGCTATGAACATCGGACAATAAGTGAAACAGCGGATACGATGACTATAATTACCATACCACCTTTACCGTCTTTACTGGACTCGCACGTAACATTCGAAAAACGAATCAATACAAAACAATCGGCTGACAGGATTTTGACTGCGAATCTCAGTCCTCTCAAAAGCCAAACAACGATGCCACTTCAGACTCACGAGTCAGTCCGGCAGTAGTATTCGCAGACTAACTTCAAAAGTCAAGAAAAGTATTCAAGAAATAGTATCAAATCTAACCGAATCGATGGCACCCGGTCAAGGCGAAGCACTAGTGGACCTTTCGGGTTTAGATACGATGCTTGAAGGAGCACACCGTCAAACGTCAATATTAGAGGTTGATAGCACGATGGTCAGTTATCTCATCAAGATGGATCGTCAGTATGATCAACAGAAATTGCCATACCAGGAAAAAATTCGAATTTTGTCATTGTTACCTGAAGACTGGACATACAATGAGATACGGGAAAAATTTGGCTGTACTCGACATGCTGTGAACCTAGCGAAGATTTATGGTTGTCGACGACTACACCGTTGCATTTAGAACCCAAAAAATGCGTTACACTCAAAATCACGAGTGCAAGGTTCGAGAATCCAAGATCTTGCGGCATTTCTGAACCCAAGATTTTTGGGTATAAAAAGTTTCACTACTATCCACTTCAATGAACAATGGAGTCGGTTGTAAGTTGAATAACTCCGGATAGGAAGCAGCTAGAGACCTACCCTAAAAGATCTCTAAAAAATCTTAAAAGGTCTCCTACCCTATTTTGGATGACATTGTTGTGCACATAATGTGTATAAGTCACCGATGTCTGTTGAAATTTGCTTGTTGGTAAAGTCGATGGTATCTGGTTGTAGATTAATAAATTCTTCGTCTTCACTTGAGGATGATTGTTGCTGCGGTGGTTTATCAAAAAAATTACCAGTACACCATCTCTTGCTCAATAAATTACGAGTATGTGCTTTTCTTTTACTGGGTGGCATATTTATGGTAATCGTGTTTCTCTTTGAATTCCCAACTTTTATTTTTAAACACACTTATACCACACTCAAATGCACAGAAAAGCAGATATATATATGCCAGCAGAAAGAGGAAAAGAAAGGTTTTCTCTTATAAACAAACGAAAGAAATAGATTAAGTGAAAAGTGAAAAGAGGATGAAATTACTATACTGCTATGAAACTATACTGCTTTATTCTGATGCACAAAAAGCTTGTGAAAGGCACTCATATTCATTTCATTATGAACTTTATCGTTATCGTTATTTTCATTCTAATAGGTTTTCCCCCAGTCATAGTGACCCATCTACAGTTCTGTAAACGCATCACCTTTTTCCGATGTTTTTTCTTTTTATTCTGTTTTTTCCTTTATGTCATACAGTCCACAGTTATCTAAACAATGGTTTAATGATACCTTTTTAAAGATGTACTGTATAGAAAAGTCCATATAATAAAAATCCCAAACCGCTTGGGATATTCACTAAACTCAGAGGGTGGGAAGAACTTGACGATTAGGGTAAAGATCAGCGAATGAGGGGAAAATAAGAGGCGAAATAAGAAGGAAATGAGTATAAAACTTAGGAAATGGCAGACAGAATTTCTCCAATAAATGATTCCGCAAAGAGTGTCTAAGACACTTGTTTTCTTCAAAAACTATATCTTTTAAAGTGTTTTCAAAACTTGTCTTTGTACTTTTTATTAATTTTATTCTCTTTAGAAAACGTTTTATATGTATGTTCATGTTTTTACCATAGACTAAAGTGATAGCTCAGTACAGAGCATATTTAATTCCTGTGTCCTATATTTCGTGTGAATTATAGAGCCTTTTAGGCTCCATGATTCTCAACGGCAGGCTTTGGCACATCATGTGGTATTCTGAACAACACTTTGCTGTACGCAAGCAAATCTGTCGGTTTTTTGGTAGCCTATCGGCAGGTGCTGGCAAGCCCTGCCCCAGGTAGTAGGCCGAGCCTGGGCTGGCGCATGCCAGCTTGTTTTCCTTTGCTATTTTTATATTTCTGAAAAAACAATACGAAGAAGTAATAAATAATTATTATATTATAAACACTTTTATTATACTTCATGTCTTCTTTCGATGTATTAGAGATGGACAGAAACGGGTATGTAGGATGTTCATCCCCTGATCTCTGAGAACTAGTTCAAGTATCAGTTGCGACGAGTGGATGGGTACTGGACTACTCTTTCCCTATCCGCTCAATGGTCCCTATAAACTCAATGGAGCTAGGTGGACCGAATGTTTTCTCAAAAGATCAGTATTTTGCAGTTTCTTCATCCAACAATGACGCTGAAAAATCTTAAATTGCCACGATTAAACTCGTCTGTCATATTTAAAAAAATAACGATAAATCAATGAAAAAAGTTTATTTTTAAAAAATACAGATAAAATAAAGAAATAAAGCTTTTATGTTTATCATTGATGATGAATCGGTAGATCCAAAACATTTATTGTATTTTATAAATATTCTAAATAATTAATAAAGCGTAATAAGCTGCTAAAATTATGCAAAGCTTTTATGTTTGATGTTCTCAAATTAGTTAGCAGGCAGGGAAATCTTAGTATGTCAGCTTTGATGCCTCGCCCTCACCTCAAATCGTGAGCTGATGATTCTTCAATTATGCAAATAAGTGGTTTTAAGTCATGATGAATCACCCAGATCTACTAAAACTAAATCAGCTCTAAAAGAGAAGATTGAATAGAACAAGCGCAGCGAATTCCGAGAAAAAAACCGTGGTCGCAGAAGAAGAAAACTAGCCATTTATTTCATCTTTATTTTTTGGAATTACGCCTACAGTTCACGTGTTTTCAAGTAGTAACATTTTCTAAATAAAGTACTTTATCTAAATAACAACAAATTCTGGGTCTTCCACATCTAGTGCATATATTCCATAAAATCAAATCGTTATTTCTTTATTTTATCTTTATTTCTTAAAAGTAAATGATCCATTTATCTTTATTTTATAAAAATGTATTATTAACGACCTACAAAAACCGTTCTCAAAATTCGAGACTTCGTCCAAAAAGTTTCATTTTTATACCGTAAATGAGAGTCGACGAGCTGCATCGAATGGCGTTTAAATGAGCTTTTTAACTATTTTCGTTTCCGATATAATTTCATTTTAGTGCGACCAAAACGTAACGCCGTTACTTTTGGACAAGCCGATGAACTCTATTCAACCATGCCAGAAAGAAGAAAAACAAAAACGATGCTACCTTTCTGAATCGGCAGCACCTTATTTCGCTTTCATGTCACAAACATTATTCAGGATTGGCTGGCGAAGGAAAAGCTTTGGGATTTGGTATCATAGATGATGAAATTCGAAACGTTTATTGTATTTTATAAATACTCTAAATAATTAATAAAGCATAATAAGCGGCTAAAATTATGCAAAGCTTTTATGTTTCATGTTTTCAAATTAGTTAGCAAGCAGGTAAATCTTAGTATGTCATCTTTGATGCCCTCACCATATATAACTCCGCTGAGACTGAACAAACATAGGGATTCGCCAACTTTTATCAAGATATACCATGTGGGCATATGTTTGAAAGACTTATTTATAGCTAGCTCATTTTGAAGTTCGTGAGATTCTCTATCGCATGGTATATCTATTGTAGTGGCTAGATGAGAAGCGTTTATCGTAGGATCCTCACCTAGAAATGTTCTCCTGTTTATTCTGCATCTAACCACATATGTGTTGATGGAATTCAGGCAGGGGCCGATTCCATCAAATAACCGCCCCGTCCTTTGAATAAACAATAAATTGATTTAAATAAGTTAATAATGAATCCATGACAGTACCGCGAACCGCCATCATGTCGACGTATACCACCAATATCCAATGTATACTATGAAAAATTTGCTACCTATGGTCTATATCGACATAGATCATACGAAAATTTTTCAATCCCTAATATAGCTGGGGGAAAAATTCCTATGATCTATGTCGACATAATGACGGTTCGCGGAAATGTCGGTGTATCAATGAATCGTTGGTTCAGGTGTTTATGAAAGAATAAGCATTCTTAAATAACGTCTCCCCTCCAGGGAGCGGTGTAGCAGCGCTAAGTAACAAGCTAAGTAGAGTTAGTGAAAGAAAAAATGAAAACTTGAAGCCAGAAGAGAGATCACGTATGCCAAAAACCACAGTTTTGAATCGGATCAGTCCTTTTGGAGTTAGTTTTCTCATATAAAGATCTGCTTTTTTACCAGAACATTTCAAGATTCTTCTAACTCTCTAATGTTAGTGTTTAGATCTTCTCCATTACGGTAAAGAAACGTTAATTTATTACAAAAATAGTTAACAAATAAAGTAATTTAATACAAAACATAACCTGTTATTATGATATTTGTACAAGAAGAACAAATAAGATTAGTTTGTGTCGGGTTTCGTCCTTGTCTTTCAATATAATAAATAAAATAGTACTTTTTATGTTGATAATGGCAATTTTATATTAAAATGTCTTTCAATTGCATTTTCTACATCTTTCGGACCATTATGATCGATGATTTTAACATTTGGATTGCTGTCATTTACAATTTTGACAATACGATCAAGCCATTCTGGATTGCTTCGTACACCACCACCGATTAATAAACCATCCCAATTTTTTTCTTTAACTACCTGAGCAATTTCTTTATCACCATCAGATGAATTAATTACAACAATTCCTTTAGCATCAATACCTTTTAATCGTAATTCATCACTAACTGATTTTGCTATTGTAGGTTGCGTACCAAATGTTAAAATACTCAGTGAGTGAGGAGAATCTTTAGTATTTTCAGACATTTTAGATGCAGAATTAGTCAGAACAGACGATCTTAAATTATAAAAGTTCATATAACATAATAATGTCTCACTTAATTTTTCCTTCGTTAGGCAGCCAACATGGGCTACGAAAGCTAATAAATAGAGTGGCATAGACTAAGTATTTTTGTAGTTGTCCGCTTACAGTTCTCGTGCTTTCAAAATACCGTGCCTATTATATGCAAAAGGAAATAATCAGTATTAATTTTGAATGTTTCATATTTAGATTTACTTGTACTAAAATATTTTTCTCAAACTCTGTAATAGCTGTCTATAAAGTCTCAAAATTTAGTGATAATAAAAGTATGTCCTACAGGCAAAATAGTCCAATCTTAGAACGCGAGCACAGTGGAACATACTTCTCAGATGCATCTAGGGAGAATGATTGAACTTTTTTAATGCAGTCTAAACAAGATTAACGCTCTTACTTTTGAGTAATTTACACGTAAATGGCTTTCAGTTAAACAAATATACTGATATTTCGCATGAATATGCATCAAGGGGAGAAAAGCGTTTTGGAATGGTATGGCCCAATTCGTTTTTTCCTCCTTCACATGAATACTTCTATTTATATTTAATATTAACGTGTAACTTTTTCATGTATATGATGACAGTGCTCTTTTTTTTAATAATATTTTAAAATAGAGCATAAAACAGAAATGATGTCGTCACTTATGTCAGAGTGCTCATACCACTCTACAAAATATTATACTTATTTATTTGTTTACTGTGCTCACCGATAGATTTATTTCTACGTTCTTTTTCTTTTCTTCATTATTCTATAGTGAAAAGTGGAAAGAAAAATGAAAGGGAAATTTATAGTCTTTTTTTGTCGGGTTTCTCTTTTTCTTTCAATATAACAAATAAAACAATACTTTGCATGTGCTCCCTTTACTGAACGTAAAGGTCATACAAAATTGCCAGCTTGCGCTGAGAAACCTTGCTCATCTATGGAATACCTATTGATCCATTAAGCTACCCAATAGATAAAGCTAAGATAGGTGACGGTATAAATCGCATTTGTCAGTTGATAGAGTGAACGTACGGCGCCACAATTAATGTGATACTGTTAAATGAAGTCAGTTGTCACTAAAACCGTTTGATATTAAAGCATTACAATTACACAATCCAAATATCGGTTAGAAGAATTAGGATGATGAAAACTAAATGAACTCACAAAAGGGCATTTTGAAGCTTTTCACTGTTTCTAAACCAGCTATCATTTATATTCAACAGTGCCGTGGCTAAAGGGGGTGTGTGGGGGTGTGTGTAAGCTCCCCCTGCTTCTGGAAAAATTTTCTCTTTAATAGTTTTTCCAGTCCACACTAAACAAAGCCTTGAATATTTTCGCCATTTCTTAACTAACCTTCAAGGTTGTTCTTTTTTTTGGATAGAGGAACGTTTCAAGCTTTTTTTCATATAATTGGAAGTTTGTATAAAAACAGTTACTGCGGAAAAATAATCAAACTTGCAACACATGTTTTCTGTGTAAAGATTATTGAGCTTATCGTAATTGAACGGAACCTATGGGTACCGACCTCTGCAGTAGCGTGATCCAACTTTTTACAGACCTTCAAGTATTTTCTTTTGCAGACTATCTTCTTATATGAAATTTCACTAGTAGTTTTTTCTTTTCTTAGTTAATTTTATTTGAAAAAAACTTTATTAGCTTTTTGCACTGTATCAGATGCTAGTTTGGAACAACCATGGCTAAAGAAATCCATACCCTCCAGTCATTTTTAAACAAAAGCAATAATAATTTTGTAACGTGAAAAGGAAAGTCATCTACTTTATTTTAATATTAAAAGTTATGTATGTGTCATTCAAAGCTTCTAAAAAAGATTGTCAGCGTTGCATCTGCGAAGCAAAAATGTGAAAACTTCCTATTGAACTGTTGGATTATAACATAGAACATGTAATAATATATCCTAATAATCTTTAAAATTTGTGTCTAACAACATCCGATCGATAGTGCACTGTCTGTTACTAGTCCATTAAGTAGCTGTAAACACACATTTCGGTAGCCGTAAATACCAAATTTAAATTGAAATTTAATCAGTGACAATTTCATCCCGAAAGTTTACAGCAACTGAAAATTGTGTTTAAAACTGCTCAAATGTGTGTTTACAGCTAAGATGCCGCTAATGCAAAAGTTCCAAAAGTTTTTTTTTGCGTTTTAAGACACGTAATCTGAGTCACCAGGAATAAAAAACTCTTTATATTGAAGAACACAAGCATCAGGACCACCGATTTTTAATTTAATTTTTTTAATAATTTCCTTATAATGTTCGCGAAATGTGTTGCTTGGAACGGAAAAAGTGTGACATTATGTGAAAAACGAAAACCGTGACACCAAAAGATGACAGTAAAAGCGATCACAGTAATGTTTTTTGCTAATTTCACGGCGAAGCCGTTTCATTCAGCATTAACCCTTTCAGGACCGGCCTATTCTGCGGAAAAATTACAAATTTTTCAAATTTTCAAAAATGATTTATTTTTGTCAGATTCATCAAGCCAGATCACGTGAAATTTCAATGATCTTTAAAGCCACACCGGTCCCGAAAGGGTTAAAGACGTTGAACTCAACAGCAAAAATGTGATACTGCAAAGACACAACATTTTTGCTATGACTTTCCCACAGATTTTGTGTGACTTTTTTTGGTAGTGATATATACAGTACTGGAAAAAATTATACAGCCACTGTATTTTTGAAATTTTTCGATGAAGCCGAGTGGCTAGATCAAATCTGAATAGTGATTTGGATAGCCCTTGAAGTTCTCTATCAAATGAAGT